TGCGATTCGTTTGCTGTGTTTAATACTGTAGCGACCTGAAGGGGGCAGCAGAGAGCGTTGTGGGGTTTTAGCTAGTGACGGGAAGACTTCTGAGGAGGCTAATGACCTCCGCTAGCTGTGTTGGCTAGCCCTTCGTGTTGAGGTTTGTCCATCTAGCGTGCTCTTTTGAAAGAACGAAGGGTCTGTTTTTTATAATCCCTGCTGGAAAGCAACGAACCCGGAGCAGAACCTCTAACGGCCACTAGGTGCTGCTAAACTAAAACTGAATTCACGTGAAGTGGAAAAACCTCAAACGTCTTTCCAGAAAAACAGATGTATAAACATCCTTCACAACAAGATTCGCAGACATCCCAAGATACGACATTCTCTTTCTGACTTAAACTCCATGTTCTCAGTAAACTCTGGACGACCTGAGAGATGCTTCAGCGCTACAGAGATCCTCTGTTCTCTTCTGTTTCGTCTTCCTTCCCTCCATCGTTACTTCCTGCATCAGTAGCTTCAGATTTTCCGTCCCACTGAACACCGACGTCGTTAACTCGATTCCTTTTGTTGAAGACAAAAACCTCAAACAGACGAGTGACAGCGGAGATCAGGACGAAGCCAGTTGGTCCAGTTTTTAAGTCCTGCTTGGTTTCGATACCGACTTCTGACAGACTGATGGAGAAACGTGACCAGAGACGCCGTATCGTACCTACAAATTAATCATTTGTGGTTATTAAATGACACCAGAGTTTTAGTGAAGAACTGTGGAAGATGTTGGACGTGTTCGTGTATGTTATATTAGACATGAGGCAGCTGATGTTTAAAACGTCTTTAAACTGGAGCTTCAATCCTCCGTCTGCTCCTTCTAGTTCTGATCTGATCAGTTTACTGCTGAAGAGTTTAGTCGTGATCATTTAATTTACATATTTTGGTTTTTCCACGTCCACAAAACGCACATTTTTAATGATTTATGGTATTTTAAAAGTGGAAAAATGTGTCAGGAGGAAATAAAACACCATCAAACTGCTGACAGGGTGAATGACCTCCATAGAAACAGACACATGATCCATTACATTTTACTACATCAGCTGATCCTGACCTCAGACGACACGGTTCATGTCAGCTGCAGGTGTTTAGCTCAATTTTTATGCAATTTAATTCTTGTTTTTTTTTCTTTTTACAGTAAACTGAACCCAGAACGGCTGCAACAAACAAACAAACAAAGGAAGGAAGGCGAGTGGAAGGCAGGGCGAGGCTATCGAGATCCAGGTTAATAGGATTAGTTCAGATTATAGAACGACACGTAAAGAGAGACGAGAGCTCAGCGGTGGAGGAAGAGGAGGAAGGAGGAAGGAGAAGCAGAAGCTCTCGTCTAAACCACACCATCCGTCATAACGTCCAGGTTTCCCCTCAGTTCACCCCTTAAATCACCAGATTACACAATCAGGAATAAAAGGAACCAATCATCTGCTTTTAATTTCTCCGTCCAATAGCGGAGCAGCGCCTTTTTTCAGGCTTTACTGTTCAAACGTTTCCTCTCCTGAGACGCTGACGGAGTCTCTGCATACGTTCAACATCCAGCGGCGGCGGCGGCTTACGTAAGGAATTGATTTTACATAAGGGGGGCACTTTGCTGATTGCTGGTGCCTCTAAAAGCCTCGACGGGGTAAATAATCTGGAATCAAACAGCCGGCGGAGCAGAAGACGAACCGGGAAGGTGATCAGTGATCAATGACCTGCTCGCGCTCCGTGGGGTCTCTGGCATCAAACAGACAAAAGCGTGTCGCCGCCATGACAACACACGGGAGGATAAACAACAGTGTGATGTAACCGTGGCAACAAAGGGGCTCTGCTAATTGGCTGCCGCCCCCTGCTGGTCAGAGGCGGAACGGCAGGCGACACAAACAACTACTGGAAAAAAAAAAAAAATATTTACACGTGTGTGAATTTTCTCATGTTTCAATCACATGTTTAGTTATTTATCATTTTTATACTTTGCATGAATCATTCTATTAATATTAAGTCACAACAGGAGAAAATGTAGATGGTGAAGTAAACGTTCATGTCAGGACATTTTCTCACAAAAAAACCTTAAAACTGATTTTTTTTTTTGCTCTCTGGCGTCGACATGTTTCAGATTTAATTTATACTTGGTCTTGTATCGATAAAGCAGAAGCTGAAGATGGTTTCTGGGAGTTTAGGAGGTTTAATATCTGTCAATAAAAAGTCCTAAATGCATAATAAAGCTGTTTGTTCTGCTTGTTCGTACTCGTGCTGCTGGTTTGAAGTTAAACACATTAAGAGGCTTATTTAAGAGATTTAAGATGAAAACAGCCGATAAACTGAACATAATTTATCTTTATCAGAACAATCCAACTCTCTGGATTCAAATCAGTCCGGCTGCAATTAGCTTTTACTTTCAATTCTGATTATTTTCAGGATTAACTGATAAGTTTTTTGGCCGGAAGTTGTTGACAAATGTCTTGTTTACCGATAATCAGTTTACCGCCACAGAGGAGCAAAGAAACCAGAAAATATTCACATTTGAGAAGCCGTAAACAGAGAATTTAGATGTTTTTTCCTTAAAAACTGATTAAAAGTTCAACCAGCTGGAGTCCACAGTCAGTAAAGACGCAGATTCATTTCCTCGGCTGCTGTAAACTTCAACCCTGATGCTCTGAACTCTGTAAAGCGTATTTTCTGTCAGATATGATACCATAAAACCAGACGTCTCACCTCGTCAGAGTCCAGTAGAGGTGGCAGGGCGCTGCGAGGGGCAGAAAACAAACGGTTAGCATCATATCTGAACAACATCAGCTCTATTTCATGACCAAAACATCAACATTCCCCCAATATGTACGTTTCTGTTCTTGTTTTTTTAGCAGAATGCATCATAAGCTGATTTATAAATGGTGTCATGACGTAGTTGGTCCAGCAGAGCGGCGCCAGTGCTCGTGTGCAGCACATGTAGCTGAGCAGACGGCGGTGCGGAGTCAAGTGGTGTCTTCACAGCGAGAAGCGAACTAGTTTCTGCAACGCTTTACATAATACTAACGTTGTTTTGCCCTTTTCAACGCATCGCTGACTCAAACAAACAGTCAATAAATAAGCGTGTGAATTATTTACCCCTAAATATAATTTAAATATGAATTTATGCGTCACTCACACGTCTGCCATCGACGACGGGATGTTCTCCTCGACCCACTTCAGATCTTCATCCTGTGAAAAAAAAACAGCAAAATGTTGGTTTTTGTTTTCAGAAATGCTTTTAAATCAACATACGAGCATCCGTTCGTTTATTTCTTTGTGTTCCTGCCTAGTTGTGCTATATGATGATTATTATTATTATTATTATGATTATTATTATTATTAGAATCTCAAAGAGAGCGACACAAACTGACAGAATTTTATCTAAACTTAATTAGAACCAAACAGCAGCTCGTTTAAATAATCCGACATACGACTAATATCACCGGAGAACATGAGGAGTTATTAAATTATAGAAACTTGTGGAATGACTGAAGCTGAAACTAAAGATGAAGAACTAAAAGGTAACAAGAACATTTGTAAAAGCGCTGAAAACACAAACGGAAAACAGCAGTTTGTCGTGTGTTTTTGTATTTATTTGTGTTTATTTGTGTTTGTTTGTGTGAACTCACCACTTTGTTGGCTTTGACGGAGCCGTTGGTCTCGTTCTTCATCCCCCTCATCTTCATCCCCTCTGGAGGGAAAAACAAACATTAAATAATTAAAACTCACTGATGAGTCTGATCAGAAACCGCAGACACCACAGGACACGTGGAATTAACACAAAGCATGTTGTATGTGGGGTTTTGTTTTTATATTTGGNCGACCAATCAGTCGTCAGCTGTTCACTAAACCGACCAATCAGTCGTCAGCTGTTCACTAAACCGACCAATCAGTCGTCAGCTGTTCACTAAACTAACTAGTCTGATCATCGTTGGAGTCGTTTTTTAAGACAAAAAAAAGTGAAAATTATCAGATTTCCGCTTCTTGAATTTGCTCAATTTCCAAAAATCTGAACTAAATTTCCTGGAAACCCATTTAATAGTCGCAACAAAAACCAGAAATGCAGAACCAACAAACAAACGGTCGGTTCTGAGCTTGTTCCTGGAAGTATTTGTGCCTCCAATAAGCTCCGAACAGAACAGACTGGACTGAGGAAACCACAAAACAAGTTGGAGTGACGAGTTTCTGATCACAACCCTCCAGAACCTCCTTCGGCTTCGTTCACATTTTTATTTTCACAACTTTATTTTTTTACAGGATCAAGACTTTAAGCAGAAACTCCACATCAGCGTAAAAAACCAAGAAGAAACCGAAGCCCTCGGGCGTCGAGACGAAGCTCCCGTCGACGCAAACACACAAAAAAAACACAACGCCAGATATTACTTTGAAAAATCTCTGCATGTAAACCGTGAAAAAGGCAAACGAGCCGCTCCGTAGCAGAAAACATGGACGTCAGATCTGTCAAAATAGACTTTATAGATTTATATATATATATATGTATATATGCAGAGAAAAGGAGATATAAATACAAACAGGCAATAAAAATCAACGTAAAAAGGACCAGTGTGCCGCCGTGATCCGTTCTGCTCCCAGTGTCTGTACAACAAGGCTTACAAAGCTCATAAACTCAGGGACTAATCACATACCGACACCAGCCTGCCTCCGCTCTGCGTTCCCTCTTTGCTTCCACCGACATCACGCTTATTGTTTTTCTGTCCGTTCGCCAGACTCGTGTCCTCCAGCTTCCCTCCACCTTCACTCCATCTTGGACATCTCGAACTTGGTCGTCATGATTTCCTGCAACAGACGAAACATCGACGTTAACGTCTTTACTGACTGTTATGTGCTCGTCACGTTCATCGGTTCCTGATTTCAGGTTTCGCTGGAACCAGACATTCACCGAGTGAAACCACAAACTACTGAGAAAAAAACAGGAAATGCACCGATTTCTGGAACATCACCTGAGAGATACTGAGAACTTAGCGAATGAGTCTTGAGCAGCTTGTTGGGCGCTAAACCACAATATCTGTTCAAAAAAAACATGCTCCCAGTTGTGAAAGTCGTGAATATCAGGCAGAAGAAGTCAGAAAATGTATAGTAGATGAGCTGTAGTACCTGTTTGTTCCACCAGGTGGCGCCTCTTACGGTTTATAGAGATGGAACGCTGCGATTCGTTTGCTGTGTTTAATACTGTAGCGACCTGAAGGGGGCAGCAGAGAGCGTTGTGGGGTTTTAGCTAGTGACGGGAAGACTTCTGAGGAGGCTAATGACCTCCGCTAGCTGTGTTGGCTAGCCCTTCATGTTGAGGTTTGTTCGTCTAGCGTGCTCTTTTGAAAGAACGAAGGGTCTGTTTTTTATAATCCCTGCTGGAAAGCAACGAACCCGGAGCAGAACCTCTAACGGCCACTAGGTGCTGCTAAACTAAAACTGAATTCACGTGAAGTGGAAAAACCTCAAACGTCTTTCCAGAAAAACAGATGTATAAACATCCTTCACAACAAGATTCGCAGACATCCCAAGATACGACACTCTCTTTCTGACTTAAACCCAAACTCCAGGTTCTCCGTAAACTCTGGACGACCTGAGAGATGCTTCAGCGCTACAGAGATCCTCTGTTCTCTTCTGTTTCGTCTTCCTTCCCTCCATCGTTACTTCCTGCATCAGTAGCTTCAGACTTTCCGTCCCAGTGAACACCGACGTCGTTAACTCGATTCCTTTTGTTGAAGACAAAAACCTCAAACAGACGAGTGACAGCGGAGATCAGGACGAAGCCAGTTGGTCCAGTTTTTAAGTCCTGCTTGGTTTCGATACCGACTTCTGACAGACTGATGGAGAAACGTGACCAGAGACGCCGTATCGTACCTACAAATTAATCATTTGTGGTTATTAAATGACACCAGAGTTTTAGTGAAGAACTGTGGAAGATGTTGGACGTGTTCGTGTGTTATATTAGACATGAGGCAGCTGATGTTTAAAACGTCTTTAAACTGGAGCTTCAATCCTCCGTCTGCTCGTTCTAGTTTGATCTGATCAGTTTACTGCTGAAGAGTTTAGTCGTGATCATTTAATTTACATATTTTGGTTTTTCCACGTCCACAAAACGCACATTTTTAATGATTTATGGTATTTTAAAAGTGGAAAAATGTGTCAGGAGGAAATAAAACACCATCAAACTGCTGACAGGGTGAATGACCTCCATAGAAACAGACACATGATCCATTACATTTTACTACATCAGCTGATCCTGACCTCAGACGACACGGTTCATGTCAGCTGCAGGTGTTTAGCTCAATTTTTATGCAATTTAATTCTTGTTTTTTTTTCTTTTTACAGTAAACTGAACCCAGAACGGCTGCAACAAACAAACAAACAAAGGAAGGAAGGCGAGTGGAAGGCAGGGCGAGGCTATCGAGATCCAGGTTAATAGGATTAGTTCAGATTATAGAACGACACGTAAAGAGAGACGAGAGCTCAGCGGTGGAGGAAGAGGAGGAAGGAGGAAGGAGAAGCAGAAGCTCTCGTCTAAACCACACCATCCGTCATAACGTCCAGGTTTCCCCTCAGTTCACCCCTTAAATCACCAGATTACACAATCAGGAATAAAAGGAACCAATCATCTGCTTTTAATTTCTCCGTCCAATAGCGGAGCAGCGCCTTTTTTCAGGCTTTACTGTTCAAACGTTTCCTCTCCTGAGACGCTGACGGAGTCTCTGCATACGTTCAACATCCAGCGGCGGCGGCGGCTTACGTAAGGAATTGATTTTACATAAGGGGGGCACTTTGCTGATTGCTGGTGCCTCTAAAAGCCTCGACGGGGTAAATAATCTGGAATCAAACAGCCGGCGGAGCAGAAGACGAACCGGGAAGGTGATCAGTGATCAATGACCTGCTCGCGCTCCGTGGGGTCTCTGGCATCAAACAGACAAAAGCGTGTCGCCGCCATGACAACACACGGGAGGATAAACAACAGTGTGATGTAACCGTGGCAACAAAGGGGCTCTGCTAATTGGCTGCCGCCCCCTGCTGGTCAGAGGCGGAACGGCAGGCGACACAAACAACTACTGGAAAAAAANCTTGGTTCTGTGATGAAACGATTTGTATTTTAGATCATAAAGTTGATCTGAGTCCAGTTTTCTTAGTTTTATTGTTCTCAGATCAGATTATCTACGAATTTTTCTGTTTTTTTGCGACAACTCGTCAAAGCTGCTCCATCGGCGAGCAAAGCTCAAAGGAAATATTAAGTTTTTACAATTTCTATGAAACCGTAAAGGTCCTGATTTAGAACATAAATATCTGATTTATGTTTCATATATTATGTGTTCTAATCTGAGCTTCTCTGGTTTTTTGAAATTTTATGTATTTATTTTTTTTCGATCAATTAATCTGAAATTTCACAGATTTCATTTTTAAAGTTTATGAACAATAAGCTCTAAGCAGATGGAGCAGAAGAACCTGCTGAGATGAAACAAACCAGATCAGCTGTAGCTGCTGAAGAACAAACTAAAGTCCTGTTTCAGGTTCAGACGAGCGACGGTTCGTTTCTCACCGAAGGCTTCGTTCATCATCGGCTCCTTCTCCTCCTCCTCGCTCTCCTCGTCCACCAGAGGACTGAAGGCGTATCTGTTCAACACAACAACACTTCAACAGCTGGAAACGAGCAAACCGACGGCGACCAGCAGCTCCCCGCCTGGCCTCAGCCTACCTCTGGTTGTTGGCCGACGGCCGCCACAGGAACATGATGACCAGCAGGATGGTGGAGAACAGGAAGCGCCAGAAGGCGTCGTCGATCCACAGCTCCCTCCAGTCCTGCAGGAGAGGACACGTTCAAAACTCAGTGACAGGACGGACGAGTGTGACTGCTGAGCGACCTGCTGCTGGGTGAATCTACCACGTCAGGTACTTACAGACAGACACTTGGACATCTTGAAGGTCCTGGTGGTCCAGATGATGAAGATGACCGAAGCTGAAAACACAAACAAACAGAAGCTTTAAAGACGTGGAGCGGCTCCCACCACGCGGCGAACACGAGCCATCACCGACGGCGTCCTCCTACCGATGACGGCGAAGATGAGGGTGTTGGTGAAGTGTCTGTAGAGCGAGAGCTTCACCACGTTCCTCCTCAGCCTCAGCAGCTTCATGGTCTGGGCCAGGCTCACGAAGATGTGGCGGCTCGGTCAAGGAACATCCACGGCAGACTTTCATTCACAGTTTCACATCTGATCACTTTTAAACCCATTATCTAGACGATTATCTATGATTTATGTGCGTCCTACAGTCTGAAGCTGATCCATGACGCTGCTCATTAACCCTCTGAACCCAGAACAACACCATCTATCAGCCACAAACTGCAAAAACTGAAGGAACTGTAACATTTTCAACTTTCCGACGGTCCTTGAACTACTCGTCTGACGCACTACGACACGAATATTCACCAAATCTGAGCCTAAAGCTGTTTTATTTAATTTAAATCACATTATTCTACGTGTCTGATTTGATGTTTGACTAATTCAAGTACGTTGTAGGTTCCAGGTTGAACTGCAAACGAATCAAACAGTCCATAAAGACTGAGAAATGGTCATTTTTAGTGAACTTTGAATCATTTCGTGGTGACTTTAGGCCATTTTGGAAAGTTTTCACGTTATGTCGGATCATTTTTGAACGATTTTAGGCTGAGAAAGCAGAAGCAGAAACTCAAAATGACAAAACAGTTGCCTGAAATTAGTCAAATTGTTCGTAATGACTCAAAAGTTATCATTTTAAACTAATTTCAAGTCATTTTGGGCAATTTGATGTCACTGTGGATCAGTTTCAAGTTATTCTAGACAAGTTTTAAAATCATTTTTTGACAGTTTCAGTCTACAGCTGATGAGCAGAGGCTCAAAACTGGCCGAAAAATTCTCCAAAACAAATCAAATGGTCCGTAAAGACTGAGAAATGGTCATTTTTAACAAACTTTGAGTCATTTCGAGGTAACTTTAGGCCATTTTGGACAGTTTTCAGGTTATTTTGGACCTTTTTTGACTATTTTAGGCTGAGAAAGCAGAAGCAGAGCCTCAAAACTGAACAAAAAATAGTCCAAAATGATAAAATTGTTCGAAATGGCTCAAAGGTTACCATTTTAACCTAATTTTAAGTTATTTTGAGCAATTTTTGAGTCATTTTGGACCAGTTTCAAGTTATTTTAGACAAGTTTTAGTTATCTTTCTCCAGCTGGTGAGCAGAGCAGAGAGGAAACGTCTGGAGAGGCTGGACGAAGAATCCCAAAAATAACCCAAACTGTCCACAATAATCCAAAACTGTCAGTTTACGTTCATTTTCAGTCCATTTGAATCAGTTTTTAAGCTATTTTGGATATTTTGGAGACGGTCTGAGTCATTTTGGACAACGCTACGCTAACATGAACAATGTTGAATCATTTTGTAAAGTTTACAGACACAGAAAGTTGTTTTTTTTCTGTATTGTTCACATTCGTTTGAAACTGTTGAGTCTAATTTCTTCATGTTTTTTGTAAAACAAATAAATTCAACAAGTTTTCTCTGCTTCTAACTGAGCTTGTTGTGTTTTCATAAACGGACTTCATATCGCAGTGGAAAAGAGAAAAAAAAGCAACGAGAGGAAAAAAACAAATTAAAACAGTGCAGAGGAGCTGCGAGCTGGAGTTCAGAGGGTTAAACTCAACCAGACAGCAACATGTAGGGCTTCTACTGAACACAGACGAAGCAGAGGAGGAGAAAACAGTGAGGGAGCCACAAATAAACCTTCAGTAGTCGTGAAATAAAATCAAAACAAAAAAGGAGGAAGGTGCAGTAGCGGATATCCACCAGCAGAGGGTAGAGTCGAGCACAGCCAGAGGGATAGCAGCCAGGAGAACTACATCATCTTCAGCCTGGAGAGGAAGAAGAACAGGAGGAGGAGGAGGAGGAAAAAGCAGAGAGGAGGAGGAAGAGGAGGCGAACAGGGGGAGCAAACAGAAGAGAGGAGGATGAGAGGAGGAGCTGAACCAGCAGCTAACCGGACCAGCAGCCGGGTGGAGTTTAGACACCGTCCATCCGTCTGTCGGGTCCGATGTGGTGAAGTCCACCCAGAGAGACATGCAGGAGGAAGCCTGAACCCAGACTGACGGACAGACAGACGGAGGATGCAGGGGGAGGGTTTGAGTGTTAGCGTCCCCTGGTGGCTGCAGCTGGAACTGCACCGGAAAGTCTGTGATGAAATATTCTCACATCTTTCTGAAAAACTTCAAATATTTTACCTCCAAACCTGACTGTGACTAACTCACCTGCTGAGATCAGACCTGTTTTGTTCTTTTTTATAAAATATTTTGATTAGAAAAGTTTTCATATTTACATGAATTTTAATTTATTTTGGGATTTATTGTTGTTATATTTCTACCTTTGTGTTGTTTTTATTCCACTGGTGAAGTCCTTTCTAACATCATTCTTATGATTATTATGTTACTGCTGCTTTTTAATAATGAAAATATGTAAATTAATGACGTTAATGAAGTGGCAGATTGTACACCGACAGTGAAATTAGCTGTTTAATGTCAAAAATTAATTTAACAAAGAAAACAAAAACTTCCGCTCAGTTCAGCGACTATTTTCTTCTTCTGATTATAAATCATAGAAATCCTGCTAAATCAGGTCAAACTCATCTTTTTATAATGAGTTTTTAATTCTATTTAAATTTTCAAAAAAATATATCATAATTTAATAAAAATCCCAAATATGTCCCAGAAAATGTATGCAGACGATCCCACTGTAAGAGCTTTATTTTAATTTTTATTTTATTTATTGTTTTTATTCTTGGATTTTTATGGAGCAGTGAGAGCGCCAAACTACAAAAATAAATCAATAAAAGAATAATAAAATAAAAGTGGAAATAAAAAGAAGAATAAACAAAATAAATAATGTGGCAAAATAAAGCGATATTAATCAACAATAAATCCATGAAAGAAAAGTCTAATAAAAGTAGAAATACAAAGACAAATAAATAAAATAACAAAAACTATATTTTTGTTAAATTTATTCTTTTTTCTTTTTAATGTTTAGTTTATTATTTTTTTTTAAATTTATTTTTGATTTTTTTCATTTTCATTAAATTTTATTTTATTTTTCTAAATTTATTTTAGCTCAGGAAATATCTGATATATAAGCTAATTTAACAGATTTCTGCATAAAAATCCAGATTTTATGCTACAAATCAGTGAATTCTGGGTTTCTGAGCGTCTGAAACTGCACTGACTCGTACTTTCCTGCTTTTATCTCCCTGTTCCACTCTTTTAATGCCTTATTTTATGTTTCTTTGATGCTTCTCTCGATGCGTTTTATGTTTAATGAACTCCTCCCGCTGACTCGTGCCCTACGATAAACCCTCCGAAGCTGCTTCGGTCGTCTCCGGTGAAGCTTCATCTCGTTTTCCGTCGCCAGTCGGGTGAATTAATCAGCTTGAGAGGCCGTGTTACGGATTAATTTGTTAACATCTGCAGACACCCCGGACTTTGTCTTAAAGGATATCCACCAGACCACACAGGAGTCAATGAAGGCCAACACTATGTCACACAAAACCCTACTGCTGGTGTTGTCGCCTCGGTCCTGTGGAGAGGAAACAGGTCAGACGGACGCACAGACAGACGGATGGACGGACGGCTGGATGAAGCGCTCACGACTTACGGCGTTGACTCGTAGGATTCCCTCCACGACGGAGAACATCAGGTAGAGGAGTCCCACGCCGACCACTCGGTGCAGCAGCGCCCCGAGTCTGGGCCTGCAGGGGGAGACAACGAGTCACCACAAATAAATAAACATTAGATTAAAAAGAACTCAAGTCTCTACACATATAGGAATCTGTGCAGTATTGTTGTTTCCATCCAGAGGACTCTGGACCATAAGAACTATGACTCGTGTATAATTGTGTTTTATTTCTATTTTTCTGCTGATGCTTCTAAAACGTTTGAACTATGACGAAGAGATTTTACTGTGTTTAGAAGATTCACAGGCGCTTCCTGTCGCCAAAATCAAATTATGAGGCTTCAAAAACGTACAAAACAAACTTGGTGAGAACATGGAGACTCCATTCAGAAAGATCCCGGGTGTCCTCACCGGGATGCCAACCCGCGACCTTCTAGCTGAGAGGCGACGGCGCTAACCACCGATCCACCGTGCAGCCCCTCATCAGGAAGACTAAAGACGTCGAAGCTACAAACGGGACTCACTTGACGATGCCGTATCCCAGACTGGCGATGATCACCAGCACCCTGGCCAGAGTCCTCTTCACGGCTGACAGCACCTCGGCGAACACCACCGCCCCCTGGACTGCAGGAGGACACATGACAACCCGTTACTACCGTCAGCGAGTCGGCGCGGGAAGACGTCCGCCGGCGTCGCCTACCCGACAAGCCGTTGTATCGGATGCTCTGGAACTCGGCGTAGTAGACGGCCTTCTCCAGCATGCCGAGGAAGATGACGCCGCCGATCCAGAACTGGATCCGGAGCAGGTCCCTCCAGTAGCAGGCCGACAGAACCAGCCACAGCACGGCCAGCAGGACGTACACGATGCACATGGCCATGTAGAACTGACAAACAAACGAGACGTGACGGCGATCACATCTTTACAATCTTTAAAATGTGCGGATTGTGAAACTTCTGCTTTGAGTGAAACATGAATTCAAGCTTCTTCATTTTGCTCAGGAAGCAGCTCAGCTTCTGTCTAGACGTGTCACTGTGTGTCCTCTTACCACCATCAGAGGCCACTCAGACGCCGAGATGTACTCGTGAGTTTTCTCGTTCATGCTGACGACGACTGCGGACACAAACAGAAAGTCATTTAGATGATCGTGGAGGCTTTGTTATTCTGTTCTCTCCGCTCGTTGGTTTCCTGGTTGCTGTGCCCGACTGTGTACTCACGCTGCAGACTCCACGGGTTGGTGTCGGGCCCTGCTTTCTTGTCTCGGTTCTCCTTGATGTGGAGGATGAACATGTAGGGTCCGTCCTCCCAGCTCTGGGCCACGGCGTCGAAGTGAGTATGAGCAGGAGGCTGAGCCAGAACACAGACAGACGAAGTTACGCCACAATAAGAAGGACTCACCCCCCATCAAGGTTGTTCTGTTTACTGCTTTTAAACATGACGTCACGGGCAATTTGTTTGTTTGTTTGGTGTTTTGTTTTACAAGAAAAAAAGGCCATGACGCTGCCACCGCCGTGCTTCATCATGACGCTGCCACC